TTTATATAATTATTATATTACTAAAATTAATATTAATATTTTATTAAAAAATTAATACTTATTTTTAAGTTTACAGGCAAATTTATTTGCTAGTTAGTTTAAAAGATAATTATTAATAATAAATTTATCATTTTTAAACTATTTTAAAAAATATATTTGATAAAAAGAAAAATTATTTTTTTATTATTACTTTTAATAAAATAATATAAAAATTTATTATGTATAATAAAATATACAAAAAATTAATTGATAAAATAAATATATTATATAAAAATAAATTTAAATTTAAGAATAATACAGACTTCAGCGAAAGTAATAGCACTCAGTTTTTTAATAATTTGTGTGTAATTTTATAATAAAAAATCAAAAAAAAATCTTATTTTCTGAAAGACCAACCAAAATTACATATATTTTATTAATTAATTAATATTTGGTATGACCTCCTTCTGTGTCAATACATGCTTTAATGCGACTTGACATACTATTAATGCAGTTAACTATTACGATATTTTCAATATCATCCTATTCCTTTCTAATTAAATTTAAAAAAATTTCTTTTGAGATTTTTTTCTTTTGTGCCACTATTCTCTTAACCTCTTTCTCAACATTTTTCTTTAAAATAGCCCAAACATTCTCAATCGAATTAAGGTTAGGGCTATAGGAAGGCTAAGAAAAAATCCGATCTGAAAGGTAAGTTTTGAAATCACCTTAAGCATCACGGAAAGTATGTTTTAGATCATTATCTTGCTGAAAGACCTATCAGTTACCATATATTGCACTTGCATTATCATATAAATGTTCATTCAAAATTTGACGATATAAATGACGATCCAAATTTTCAGTGAACATGTGTATGCCAATTTTTTCCTTAACACTGATTGCACCCTAAATATGAACTTTAAATAGGTGTTTTACCATTGGAGTAATAGGATTTTTGTCATGTGACCATACTAGAAGGGTATTACAGAACATTTGAAGTATAGTTTCATCAGAAAATACCACCTTTTTCTAATTATAATTTACGTGATCACAGGCCTAAGACAACTGATTCTCTTTTACTTTCTGTGTCAAAAGAGGAACTTTTCTAGGACGAACAAATACAAATCCAAGATTTTTTAGCTCACAACGAATGGTCCGTTTACTAACTTTAAGCTCTGGATTTTTTTCTTTAAGTTGGGCCTTTATTTCATTTGCTGTAGTGAAATGATTATGCTTGACGATCATTCCAATTTAGCGTTATTTTTTAGGAGTCAATTTTCGTGGTCGACCAGACTGATAACTTATAGTAATCTTACTAATTTTCTTTAATGAACTAACATAATGATAACAGGAGCATAAGGGAACACCTGTTCTTTGTGAAATTTCTCTTGCATTTCAGATTTTTCACTGCCAAAGAAGATTAACAGCATTTCAATTTCTTTCAAAGGTGGTTAATACCATTTTAAATGAAAAATATGAAGAAATTCATCTTTTTCTACAACTTTTTTTTGTTTGTTTATTAAATATTATTTATAAAGAATATTCTAGAAATACTGGAAAATTCTAGAGTGAAAAATGAACATGCTACGACTCAAAAAATAAGCAGCACTTATAGTGCTATTACTTTGGCCAGTGACTGTAAATAAATAATTTATATTAATTAGCAAATTTCTTAAAAAATAAAATATTTCTTAAAGGTATATTTTGTTAGTTTATAAATTATATATTAATATAGAAATTTTAAATTAAATTACAGTTTATTATAAATAATAAAATAAAATATCTAAGTATCTATAAATTCAAAATTTAAAAAGGTATTATACTATAGTAAATACTTTATAAAAGATATAAGGTTAAATATTATATGTATTTTGACTTATAATAAAATTTAATATATTAGTTTATTATAGTTTAATATTTAATTAATCATTTTTTTATATATATTTAATTAAATAAAGATAATAGATTATTATTTTAAGATTTAATATAACAATATTATTATTTGTATAAATCTTAATATGTAAAATCTTTGTTTTATTTTACTTATTTAGTTTTTAAGTATAATATATAATTGTTTATTAAAATAAAAACAAAAATATATAAGTAATAACAAATAAAAAAAGTAATAATATATTCATAAAAAGCTGTTAATAATAAATTATACTGAATGATGTAAATTAAATATTAATAATAAAAAGATTTAAAGTAAACATAAATAAATTTATTATTAGATATATAATTTGAAAATATAATATTACATATAGGCATTTTACGATAGAAAAGGAGGAAACTACCAAAAAAATTTTTTTTTACTTTCTAAGCTAAATATTATTGTTTTAGTAAAATAAATCCAGATTTAACATTAACTCAAAATAATTTTGATTGTAGTTTCCTTCCTTTCTATTGCAAAATGCCTATACAGTCAACCCTTTCTAAATGCATATACTATATATTTTCTCTCTAAATGCACGCTCTTGTTCAGTCCCAAGTATATAGAATTCATATAAAATTTTTTTCTTTAAATACACACCCTCTTTAAATGCACATTTTTTAAAATTTTCACTATAGTCCTGAGGGGGTACATTTAGAGAGGGTTGACTGTATATATATATTACATAAAATAGAAATATAGTATTTTTAGAGTTTGAAAAATTTCTTTTTATATAGATATCTGATATATATAAAGTTGTAGAAACTATAATATAAAATATGATAATTAAAAGTCAAATTAATTCTTAGGAAAAAATGATAATCTATATTTAATTATCCAATTAAATTTTCTGAAGTATAATTTTAAGGGTTTTTAAAAAGTTATAATCTTATTATAAGAAGATCAACATATGTTACATAATATCTTTCTTTAATAAAACAACTAATATTTTAAGTTTTATTTTGTATATACAAATCTATTTATTAAAATATATCAGAAATAATAGATGAGACTTTGATTACATTTGATCTACTATTTTGAATAACTGTAGATCATAAAAGAACAAATTTCACTGTAATATTAGCCTATAAGGCTAATTAAAGCAGTTTGTATTTTAAACTTAAAAATATACCAAGAAAAGTATTTCCTCAAGGAATTCATATACGCGTTAATAAAAGGATGGTGTAATGAATGAGAAATTCTCTTGTGAATTGATATGTATGAACTCAAAAAATGCATTAAGCCATCCAAGATCTTTATTGGTTTTAAATTCTTTTTGTGAATATATTGTTAAATCAAAAATAGATTTGATGAAAAACAAACAATATTGCAGTTATTCCTGATACTTTACAAGTAAGCTACAACCATTAAATGTAGCCATCAATAAATGTTAAAGCAAAGTTTCGTCATTACTATAATGAATGGATGAATAGTGAAATTTGTGAATTAATACCTGCTGAAAGAATTAAAAGTTCTCTTTATGTTACTGTTGAATGTAAAAAAAATCATGGGCTGATGTGAATGTTTTTTTCTAATTCAAAGTTCATTTAAATGTTGCGGATTATGATAGTTTACTTCAGGGACGTTTTCACGTGGTTAACATATCACGTGATTTGTAAAATTAATAAATTATCTCGATTTTTCTAACCCTCCACTTGAACGTGAAATGAATTCCCGACCATTGCCACCGCCCGCACTTTCAATTAATAATAAGGACATTCAGTTTCTTGAACAGGTATTGTTAAACAAAAACACATACTTCCTGTTATTAATGATTTACTTAAACACGAACCTTACAGGAAACGACTACACTTCTTGTAAAAAACTTACCCAATTTATGCGAATCAGACCTACTTGATTTTCTAAAGCATTTTGGTCCACAGGAAATTCGTCTTGGAACTTCAAATCCGTTGGTATGATTATGGATTGATTCTGTAAAATAAAATTAAATATGAATTAAATATTGCGCATTCATTGACAACAGCTCTAATTTAATGATAGAAAAATTCGGCATTCTTGGATTATCCAGATCGTTTATCAGCAGCGAACGCATTTTCTAAGATACAAGAATTAGGAGATGTAGTAGGAAAAAAAGTTCGAGTAGAATATGCATTGCCAAGTAAAGAGGCTTTGCAAAAAAAGGGTAATTCTAAAGTCGCAGGAAATTCTAGTGATAATACTAATGAAAATAGGCAGGATGATTCTGGATCATTTCAAACACTTCCGCCACCCCCTCCGTTTCCGCCGCCACCAAGTTTCATTGCTGAACCAATTGCACCTTCATTAGGGTAACAGTTATATTATTATCGTCCATTATAAAAGCTGTTACTTTAATTTTATTATTTATTGTTTATAGGATTAATTATCCAGCACCTCCTTCACTTCATTATCGTTATCCCCCTCCAACTGTAGAAATTTTATATAATATCATGAATGCTATTGCGGCTGTGCCTAAATTATATACTCAAGTTTTGCATCTAATGAATAAAATGAATTTACCACCACCATTTGGACCTATATTACCAGAATCAATACCAGCCTTAGTAATTATTATTTATAAAAAAAATAATTATCCATTTACATATTTTTAAAGAAATCTATTGACGACTATATTTCAATTGGAAAATTTCTCCGACATAATAGCTTCAAACTGATACCGAAGGAAGTCTTAACAAGAAACGCAAGAAAAGAGATGAATTATTATCAGATGATGAATCTGAAATTGACAGTGAAGTTGAAGAAGAGCAAATCAAGATAGGCCCCGTAAAGAAACCTAGAGTATCGGAAATACTTCCTGGAGTCATGCAAACTATACCACATATCCCCGTCGCTTCTTATATGAATCCTACGTATATAGCGCCTTCTATTGAGCCAATAACACCTAAAATTGTACCACCGGTACTTTCTGATGCATATTCTAACCAACCTCCAACTTTAGAATCGCCAGTACAATATCCTTCAACTTCAAAATCTGAAGTATACACCAATTCATTTCCAACTGAAACCAAATCAGAGGAAACTGCAAATTCACTAGTTCAACAAGCAGAATCACCACTAAATTGTATAACGTTAGAAGAAATTAATAGTAATAAGATGCTAGAAGATGGTATTATAATTGAACCATTTTTCCCATTTTCTTTGCACTTTGTGCGATTATTAGTTTCTAACTGTGAGTATAATTTAAAGGATTGAACAAGATATCGGCAATGAAAAATTACGAACCTGGACGACCCAATTCAACTTTATATATTAAGAATTTGGCCAAAAAGATAAAAAAAGAAGATCTAGAATATATCTTCGGGAGATATTTCCATTCTAAAAGGTATTGGATTATTTTAAAATAAGTTTTATCTTGTAAACTTTAGAGTTTTGATTAATGTGAAACTTATATTTAAGTCAAATGGATATCCGATTACACTCGAGAGGACAAGCGTTCGTAATATTTTCGGATGAAGAAACGGCATCTCGGGCTTTAAATGAGGTTCATGGTTATATTTTACATAATAAACCCATGGTTATTGTGAGTTTTTATTTTTATTTTAAATAAATTTATTTATCTACTTATTATTTCATTTTTTATTAATAAAACTTTCTTTTATTAGCAATTCAGTAATAAAATTTCTTGAATTGATTGATGGTTTAAAATAATCATAACGGTCGTGTTAAATATAGGTTATTAGCTTGGAGAATGAACATTAAATTTTAAATGTCCTAGGATTTATGATTTAAGTTCATAAATGTGTTGCTTTGATATAGGTTTATGAAGCTTGAAGGTTGACTGATTCAATTCATACAATTCGAACATACGGTATTATATAAACTTGATAATATTCAAGTTTCGTTTATAATGTATGTATCAATAAAGTAAATTGAATTTATATTAACCATTTTATAACAAATTTCATAAGAAATCCATATATTTAAACAATAATCATACAGAATTACGGTTTTGTTAAATGGTCTATGTTTACGGACTGCGATCTCTACATGAATACATACAATATAATTTGCATGATGACATTATGTGCGAGTTTTTTTCACATTTAAAATTTCTTTAATAAAGATTTTATTGAACATTTAAATAATAGTACACTTGTCCTTTTATAAATGAACCATAAATATGACTTGAGAACATCAAAGTGGTAAATCCTCCAGCAGCATACTCATGAAAGTTCTTAATTTCTTTCAATACAACAAAGTGAGAAACACGACATATAGATTATTATGAGGACGACTAATGGTTACCAGCTTCTCTAATGTCACAAGAAGACAAAACATATTAAAAGCTGAGATAAGAACCTGTTATTATTATAGTTAATGCATTAGTAAATTGAAGTTCATTATTAAAAAATGGTTGCTATGTAATTTATGTAACTTACCAAAACTCGATGAAGCAGAAGAGAAAGATTATATCGAGGAGATATAGGATATGCTGTTAAATCTCTTCTAATAATACACCATTGAAATTGTTCCTTTGCAGCAGCATAACTGGGCAAGTAAGGTAAATCACCAAAAAGAGATGGGTCCCATATTTCCATCTTTGATTCTAGTTCTTTTACAGCATTATCAAACTCGTCAAAATCCTTCTTTTCTTCTGCTTTGAATATCAATACATCATGCAGTAAGACAATCAGATCTAGACGAAACATTTTTAGTGTTGCACCAGATGTATCCACAACATTGCGATCAACCTGTAACCAAAACTGAGACTTCGGCCAAGGCTTTGCCATATTCGTTTAACCAAAGCATCATACTCACTAATCAAGTTATTCTCACTACCTGTTATTGTAAGCATTATTGCAGCTTCACATAGAGAGGAAACAGTATCTCCAGTTTGACCAACATCCTCATCAATAAAGTAGTCTCCAAGATTTAAAATGCTAATTCTGGTGATGTAGCCATGTTTGTGCCGTATAGGAATCTTTTGAAGAAATAGATGCTTAAGATACACTTCAAGCTCATTCTCACTTGGTGGATTAGTAAGTGGCTGAGAAAACTGAGTAATAAGTAACTGTTCAATTGACGTTGTCTTCTCTATAGTATAAAGAACAAAAAGATGAGTATTTGGCACGAGCAAAAGTCTTTAAATGTATATCAACTATAATTGTAGTAACTTCCCAATAAATTCATATGAAGAAAAACCTATAACCATGTCTACTCTACCCTCGTACACATCACTCATGCCCCCAACGCCCGAGTCACAAAGTCGTTACCCAAGAGAGACTTTAGATATTGGACCTTCTCATTATCGTCCTCGCAAGTTGACAGAATAGCAATAGCTTCTACCTTCTGAGTAGGTTCTTTGGTAAAATATCTATGTAGTGCCGTTTTTTCGTCTTTCGTGAGGACAAGACGCGAAATTTCTGAGTACAGTTCCATTGTTACTTGGAAGTTCATTTGTTCGATAGGAAGATATATTTACTAACGCTGATCATCGGCTTAATCAATGACGTATGATTAGGACCTTTCACAACGTAACTATTGTTACCCTGTATCATCCACGGTGTCAACTTCTACCATAACACTACAAAAAAATGCTTAATTTCCTGGGCGAATTCCTTCTTGGAGTACTAATTAGCTTCATTCTCGGCTTATTGCTAAATGGCATACATTGTAATGGTCAGTTTAATAATGCGGAAGCCTTAATTCAATCGATGAAGTTACAACCCATAACAAAACTTTTGGCGACGAACAAAATTTACTTGCCAGATATCAAAACATTGTGGAATGATTTGAATCCAAAATTTTCATTTAACAAAATGGCATTTAAAATTCATAATTGCTTAACAAACAATAGGCCATTACTGCATCTACAATAAGAAATTTTTATCTTTGAAGAACAACCCCATGGAAAAAGATCATTGTGGCAATTCAACGTTGGATTAAAGAAGAATGTAAACCACTCAGATGGGGAAAATGAAAATAAATAATAGTTAGTGGTCCGATCCGGACGTAAATGGATAATCCGTGAAAATCCTCATACATTAGGAAATTTAACACGTGTATTTTTACCGTAAACGATTTAGTGTTAAGTAATAAAACCAATATGTATTTTATGTAAAATATTTAAAAATTTTTTATTAAGTAAAATTGATTGCTTTGCTTTTATACAATTACTGTAATTAAAATAAATTGAATTTATAAATATTAAGTATTGTTATGATATAAAATTGTTTGTAATTAATTAGTATATTTGCAACAATCCCTTTATAAGAAAAACGTAGAATTTAGAATTAAAATATTATTTATAAATTCAAATATAAGAAAATTGTTATATTTTAGCTTGTTTTGCCAATCAAATTCTAAATTGATATATATGAATTCTATATTAGTAAATCTATTTTTTTTTTTTCTTCATAAATAATACATAATAATAACTTAGAAAATTTCTTAATTTAAGAGAAAAGTTAATCTTTAATATAGAACTTTAATATGTAAGTCGAAGGTCGAGCTTCACTCGTTCAGATATCTCTTTACAAGTAGATTTGATGCGAAGACTTTCTTTAACCCACGATATTCTTATAAGTAAGTTTAATTGTTTCGATGGTGGGAGAGGAATTTCGTTTAATTCCATCGTCTTGATGAAAACACGATGGTATATAGTAAAAGACATAATTTTTTTTGGTTTTTTCTTATTTTTTTTAGAAATAAAATCTTCATATGACAAAGGAACAAAGTTACTATTAATAAGATTTCTGATTCGAACTGATAGATTATCCATTATGAGTAGCGAAAAAGGAATGATTAAATTTTTTCGTGATGCTTAACACTAATTTGAAAGAAAAAAAAAAGGGATCTCGTTGCGTACTTTTTAAGTAAAGGAGGTAAACCTTTAAATTGGAATTGGAAATTAAAGAATCAGTCCAATTTAAATAAAAAAAAAATTTCTAATTACTACCCTGAAGCAAAATTAATTGATTTTAGTCATATCGGTCGGTGACAATTTTTATTTCCTTTACACGTTTATTTGTTTTTCTTCATTTGCAATGTCATTTGTTTTTTTCCCCAATAAAAAATAAATGATGCGATCACTTGAACATATAGTTACCGTGTATTGCTATTACCCTTTTGATGAAGTTTTTACGAAATCAAGAGTAATACGCGAGCATCTATTGGTTCTTTTAGAACATTGCCAATTTCTGAGACATTTCCGGATCAATGGCAATATTAAATGACGACATTTCTCTTGAAACTTGGTAATTTGTAAACAGAGTTCGATAATACACGTTAATGCCATGTGGTCGGACATGTAACAAATTTATCTCGATCTCATTTATTAAACAGGTTACTAATAATTTTATTATAAAATATGGAGGTTACATTAAATCATTCTAAAATTAAAAATTAAAATATATATATATATTATGAAAATATAAAAATAAAAATATTATTATAAGCCAACTTTTGATAGCACAAACAAATATTTAGAGCTCCGAGCCTGCGGAGAATAAATTTCTCTAAACGATATATAAAAAATTTACTGAAGTTACGAATAATGCAGTATCTATAATATCACTTAAAGAAGCAATTACAAGTTTCAGTGTATTTGTTTTGATCCTTGTCATTATTTAAGATAACTCATCGTCTAGGTTTGACCCTCGATGGTTGTTATACGACGCTTATGATTTTGCGGTTGGTCATCATCGTCGTCTGGGGGATACTGACGTTTATTGATTTTAATAACACCAAACATTTGTTCTTTGTAAAGTTTTTTAATTTGTTCAGAATAATCCTTATACCGTTGCTTCACTTCTTTTGATTCTGTTTTCCATAAATAACCTGCCAAGGGGGAAATTAGTTTTTGATCTAATTTTTTTCCGGATCTTACTAGATATCGACATAAATACTTTCGATATACAATAAATGCGTTCCCGCGAAATTCGCTGATTTTTTTTGTTTTATCAAATCTTGTTACATATTCTTCAATCCTGATATCAGGTGGGAAATTTGGTCTGTATGAATTCTCAATTATTTGAGACATGTTCTCAAGGTGCTCAGTAGAAAGTAACAATTGATTATAATCCGCATTAGACATCTCGAATGAATCCATTTTTTTTGTCTACAAAGTAAAATGGATTGATTTATAAAGATTTTCATTTACTTTTTACTTTCAACTCTGACTTTGATAATGTAACATAAATAATGACAATTGCATATTGAATGTATTGTAAATGTCTTTTATATCTATGTAATTTTTCCTCTTTCAAAATTTTTCTCGCAAACATTTTACTTTTGAGAAATAAATTTGCTATTTTGATTGGTGTAGGATTAGATAGCATATTATCTTTTTTTTTTTATGTTAATGAAATAACTTTCTTTCATAAATATTCATGTTCCTTATTTTGTCTAGCATCCACATCCAAACATTCAAAATGAAACATTGTCCATTTTCAATGAATTTTACCCCCCCCCCCAAAAACTTTTTTTATTAAAAATTCAAATATATAAATATATTATCAACATATAAAAATAAAAAC